AATAGAAAAGTAAGGAAGTGAGAAAACGAATGACATACTTTTTGGTGCATCAATCTCAGCAAAAGAAAAAAAAAAGCCCTTTGAGAAAGTTAAACAGTTTGTCTGGGTTGTGTTACGGCACCTTTCAGTGAACCAGAATCAGCATCTTGACCTGTTTTTTTATTGTCCCATTTCTTAGCTCCACTATCGGGGGGATCTCTGCACAGCAGCTGTTTGAACAAGCCTGAAAGTTGTTCTGTGGAAGGGAATTAGCAGCTGTGTTATCTGCTCCGGGTCAAAGATTTCCCACTTTGAATCACTCTGAAGCCATATTGGACATGAATAAAAAAAATATATATGTTTTTAAAAGTCTCAGAGTGATGCTCAGCATTCATGCAGTTTCCCAACCCTTTTTTGTAATATTTTAAGGATAACTGCCCTGTAACCATTTATATACACAGTTTAGAGGATGTAAAAGCCTTTATTGGTATTATAGGAATTAAACTAACCAAGGCTAGTCATTATTTGAGTTACATGCAGGCTGATAAAACATCTACAGAACTTTTTGTTGAAAGAAAGATGTGGAAATTATCTGCTGTTACTTTAAATCTTTATGCACAGTGTTGGGATCTGGAGGTTAGGGTTGTCAAAAGTATCGATACTAAAAAAAAGTATCGATACTGAAACGTTGTATCCGGATACAATACTCGATACAGTGCCACCACCAGTGGCACCTAAGCAGTCAATCATCTAAAGTGCAGAATAGAGGACAATGCGCTTTCAGAACACTGTGTGATTGAATAATTCTGTGCACTTTTCAGTTTCAGACTTTTTTTTGTAACAAGTGCAGCTGCTGAGAATTATTTTTGTTTCTTAACCAGTTTGGCTAGTGTCATTGTTGTGTGCAAAGCATAGCCAAGGAAGGAACACTTATTTTAATTTTATATGTTTTTTATCAAGCTTGCTTAATATTTTGCACAGCATAAAACCTTTATTGTATTTATTTATTGTATTTTATTTATTAATGAAAATATTTCTGTAGAATTTTGGAGTCTTTGTTTTTATCCTTGTGGTATCGAAAATGGTATCGAGTATCGAATATTTTCGTTAGTATCGGTATCGAGTTGAAAAGTTTAGTATCATGACAACCCTACTGGAGGTCTATCCACCTTCCTCCAGCAGAGGGCGCCTCTAGGTCTCCTGGAGCTGAGCTGACGACCACACCTGAGATCCATCAGTCATAAGGAGACCAGCTTATAAGCAGCAGCAGGACTTCTCTCCAGCGCCAGAGTGTTAAGCCAGTTATGGTTAGCAAAGCCTGAGCCAACCAGCCTGTCTGATTCTCTGACTCCCAGAACTTTGAACCTTGAATCTGATCAGTTTTTGTCTTCTCTGCCTCCAAGGAAGAAACCTGACTGAGCCCTGGAACTCTGGAAGAGTTTCATCTGCTGTAATCCGCCTGCTGGCTCTCGGAAGCTCTCCAGCAGAAACTAACTGTCTGAACCTGCCTGCCCGCCCTCAAGAAGAGGATCGGAAGAAAGACTCTGGATCTGAACACTGTTAAGTCTGAAGTCAAGCCCTGCTGCTGCTTAGCCCTCTGCCCACTCCAAGCCTCTGGACCCAACTCGGTTCCCTCCTTCAGCTGCTAATCTGAATCACAGGTACAAACCTGCACAATTCCTCCGACTAGGATCTTCAGCATCCTGGCTAACCTAACTGTCCTTCTCTACAGAGAACCCTGTGTGACCAGTCCCGGATCTGTTTCTCTGATTTACTCAAATAACTTCACTGCAAAAAATATAAATCTCAATAAGTAATTTTTTCTTAAAATAAGTGTGTTTTTCCTTGATTTGAGGAGATAAGTAAGACACTTTGCCAATGGAACAAGACAATTTCCTTTTAAAATAAGAAAAAACTATTTTATCGTCTTATTTCAAGTAAATATTATCTAACTATCTTATTTTAAGAGTGAAAATACTCATTCCATTGGCAAATCATCTTATTTACCTGCTCAAATTAAGGCAAAATATACTTAATTTAAGCCATTTTTTACTTATTTCTGGATTGTTTTTGCAGTGTTGTGTTTATCTTTTAATAAACAGTCAAACTTTTAACCTGCCTCCATTGTGTTCTGCATTTGGGTTAGAACCCTGAACCCAATCATGACACACAGAAACTAAACTTTAATGATTAAAACAGTTTCATTCATGATATCCATTGGATTTTTTAAAAATAACATTATACTTGCTTGATGACACAAAGTACAAAGGCTACACTATAATTGCATGACAATTTAGAACTTAATTTAAAATGGGTAAATTAGAATATAAAAATATTGCAAAATATGGAAAAGGATGTTGTACAAGGAAACATTCTGACATCCCAACTGGATGAATAAAGAGAGGAACAATGAGATGAAATAATACAAGATTACCCATGTACCTTTTAATTTGGGTCTTTGTCCAAATAGTTACATTAAAACAATAAAATATTTATTATAAATATTATGTATTTTTTCCCAGCATTTTTTATTGTCATTACCTTGCTAGACCAACAAAATTAACTCTCTTCATTTAACCCACCCCTTTGGGGAGCAGTGGCTGCCATTGTGTGGCGCCCAGGAGCAGTGTGGGGTTAAGGGTCTTGCTCAGGGACCCCTAGTGGCAGTCCATGATTGGGGCTCGATTTTAAGCGTAATGTTGGGTTTCCTTTAAAAACAAAAAACAAAAGAAACTTTAGCATTTCCTATGGAAGCTGAAAAATATTATTCTAAAAGATAGACAAATGCAGATTTTAAACTTGACGCATGGCGGGGACAGCCCAGAAAATTGATGATGTTGGAAGAGCAATGAGCTGCTGAGTGCACCACCAGGGCAGACATAGAACTAAGTGCGCACAAAGACGGATTTGTGCGCAAGCACTGCTGGCTTAGGGTTTAGAGCTGGATTAGATTTTGTCAGAGTTAAATGTGCACCAAGCAGAAGTTTAAAGAACATATGTGAGATTTAAACTCTACAGACATGATAACTTCCTGCTCAGACTGGTAACAGTACCCTAAAAGTGATCGCACACAATAGCAGGCCGTAGGTATTACCAGAACTTCATACTGCCCCTAAATCTTTTATTGGTCCAGACTACTGGACCGCTCCAGCTTACTTTAATCCCTGGTACTATGTGACATGTATTGCAATGCATCCAAAAGACAGTTTATTGCAAATTATTCAGATTCAAACACTATTCAATTAAGATAATAAGAAGTGATCATCTGCAGAAAATAAAATAAAATGTGTTTTGCTTATTTTGATGCAAAGTTAGGTTCTGAGTGACTAGTTGTTGCAGAGTAACACTAACACAAGATTTCTTTAGCAGTTGTGGTTGAATGAATTCTACCCATAATGTTACCTTTGGTTTTCTTATAAGAGCGGCTTCACTGAATGAAGAAAAAAAAAACTGTGTAAAAACCTCAGGGGAGGCCACTGCTGGCCGACACCTAACAGAAACTGCTGAGTTATCACTCTATGATAACAACAGAACAACCATCAGCTTGAAACACGAGAGGCTAGATGACTGTATCATTGCTGCTCCTGGCAGCAAAAACATGCTATTTATGTAGAGGAAAAGCTACTCAGTGGGGTATAATGGGAGGCTTTGAAAAGGTCATCAACAACCATAAATGTCTCTGGCTTCGATAAAGCACTGCAGCAATTTGTAACCCAAGATCCATTCTCCAGCCTCACTTCAAGTACTTTTTCACTAAAGCAGTGAGCACCTCAGATGTGTCATTAAAGGCATCTCAAGATTCTGAAATGGCTGTAAGGCTGACGTTAAATGAAGAGTTGGATCTTTCAAGCATTCCTCTCTCCAATAATCCTATGGAGGGCGTCCAGTTGCAGAGCAGTTCCACTCGGCTTGAGAGAAACATTTTCTGAATTTAAAAGCTCACCAATTCTTCAGCATGCCACCCGCTCACATGAAGCGTTAAATTCGGCTCAAAGTGGAAGCAACAGAGATTTACATTTTTTCTATACCGACTTTACAGCCTTTGGGTTGGCTGAAGATTTGCAGTATGGGGATTTTTTTCCCTTTCTACTTCCAACTCAGGAACTGAAATGTGTCATCATAGCTTCCTTTGACACCCTTGGGTTTTTTTTTTATCTTCAGCTAAATCCCTAAAGCAGAGACACAGAGGAAATCTCTACTAAAAGTGCTTTAAAAGTCAGAATTGGAAATTCATAATCAGTCTCAAGAACCGGTTAACCCTCCTGCTACACGAATTATTGGATTTTTAATTTAGGCTTTTTGTGAAAACTGGATTTTAAAGTACAGTATATACCAAGAAACATCCAGCTTTGAAAAAAATCTAACCTACAATATTTGTGTTAAAGATTTGAGAAAAGTTAGAAGTTATTTCTCCTACCTTAGAGCCTTTTCATGAAGTTAAAAATCAATTTAAAGTTCTCTTCTATATCAATAGGAATCTATTAGCATTTGCACTTCAATGCAACTTTATCATTAAACAATTTTTTGCAAAAGTTTTTATATTCCTGATAGAGCTTTCTTTTTTTTTTTTAACAACATTATAATATAGTGTACTCTCCTAGCCTGACCTGTCATGCTGAGCTGGACTGCTATGTCATGGTAGATTTGCAGGGGTGTCGTACAGCTTCCGATTTCAATGTACAGACTGAACAGGGCTGTGTGGAAAGTCTGGATTATTGCTTAATATCTGGACAGGCATGTGTTTGCATATTATGAGACCTCTGCAAGAAACTGGTTAGAGGAATTTTGTTTGGTGGTTTAAAAATAAGGAGGAAATACTACCTACAAATACATAAAACAAGTTTCATACTCTAATTTTAACCATTTTCCCTCACTTATCAATCATGATCTTCTGTGTTGGGCTATAACACGAAAACCTCCCAAAAAACGTTTGTGTTAGTGGAAGTTTGGCATAAAATATAAGAATGGACAAGAGGAATAAATAATTTTGTAAGAAAGTGTAGTCTTAAGTAGCTCCTTACCCGCATTCCCAGCTCGATGTTCTCGCCTCCATATACTTCCATACCTGGATCAAGCAGCCCAATCTCACCAAAGTATTCCCGATCAACCACAAAGGAGCACCCAATCATAGCTGGAGTCCTGCACAGCAAAGAAATAAAGATACATGAAACACATATGAACATTTTTTTATGATTCTAAGTGCTCGGAGCCGGTTTCGTTTACCACTCAGGATGAAGTCACCAAACTCAAAAAACTCTACATGGCAAGGCTTCAGGGGTGGACTAAGTCTGTCCTGAATACTTTAGAGCTCTGGCTGTTGTTGGGCTGTCTTGTATGACACACCTCTTCAACATTGCATAGAGGTCCGGGACAGTCCCCCTGTATTGGCAGACTGATGATGATTGGTGGTTCCTCTAAATGAGAAAGATGATAGGAGGGTTTGTTCCCAATACATGGGAATTACACTCCTCAGCCTCCCTGGTAAGGCCAATACCAGGGTGGTGGAAAGGAGAGTCCGGCTGATGGTCAAACTTCGGTTTTAGGAGGAGCAGTGTGGTTTTCGACCTGGCTGTGGAACAGTAGACCAGCTTTACAGCCTTTGCAGGGTGCTCAATGGTTCATGGGGGTTTGCCCAACACCTCGACATGTGCTTTGTGGACCTGGAAAAGGTATTTGTGGGGGGCTCTGAGGAGTACAAAGTTGGAGGCGTTTTCTAGGGGCCATCCGATCTCTGTACAAGCAGTGCAGAAGCTTGGTCCACATTAAGTCAGACCTGTTCCAGGGGCATGATGGACTGCGACAGGGTTGTCTTCTGTCAAACGTTCTGTTCATAACCTTTATGGATAAGATTTCTAGGCGAAGCAAATGCGGCACAGGGAATGGTTTGGGAACTAGCGGATCTCGTCCCTGCTTTTTGTGAATGACCTGGTTCTGCTGCCTCCCTCATGCCAGGACCTACAGCATGTACTGGGGCGGTTCACAGCCGAGTGTGAAGCGGCTGGGAAGAAAATCCGCACCTTCTAGTTTGAGGTCATGGTTTTCGTTGAACATGTTGAACATGACTCAAAGAATGAGTTCTTTAATACAAGTGGCTGAAATTACCTCTCTGGAGGGTGACTGGGCTCTTCCTTAGAGAAAGGGTGAGGAACTCAGTCATTTGGGAGGGTTTTCAGGTAGAGCCACTTCTCCTCCACATTAGTCAGCAGAGGTGGCTCTGACTTTTTTTTTTTAGATGCCCCCTGGGAGGAGGCCCAGGGGACAACCCAGGACATGCTGGAGGGACTATGTGTCTGGACTAGCTGAGAGAGAATCTTTGGCTTTCCCCAGCATAGCTGGAGGTGTCTTTGCAGTGGGAAGTCTGGGATTCTCTACTAAGACTGCTGCCCCCACAACCCGGTCCTGGATGAAGTGGGACATAACAATGATTTTTAACGATTCTTAATATCCATCCATTTGTTTTTCCACGGTAGTCAGATGATGATATGCCTCTGTTAAACTAAAGGAATCTGCTCTTGGATCTATGTGCTAATGTCAAAACTCAAAGTTTATATCCGCATAAACAAAGCACATTTCAGACTGAAAATGATCTTCTAAAAGAAAAAAGGCAAGAGGGGAACATAAAGATCTTTTCATTTTATTGCAGATTGCACTTAGCAGTGCAGCCCATATGAGCATTCTGTTCTACTTGCACATCAGCACAGACAGAGGCTTAAGAGATTAAGAAATAATGTGGGCATGTAAAGTTTAATTTTTTTTTTAAAGGGGAAGGTAAAATAATCTGATAAAATGACAACTACAGTACGGAAAAAGGTTTGGTTTCCTGTTACAATAAAGCAGGTATATTTCTGTATTCTCAAACTTGATTAAGGTCAATGTATTTTTTATAGGGTTGACTTTTATTTGTTTCTTTTTAAATTAGTGCTCTAAAGTAATTATTCTCTGTAAATGTTTATCTTGAAAAAAACTGTAGTCAGTTCACTTAACTAAGGCTTCTTAAAATTATGAAAACAACACTTCAAACTAGGCTGATCACCTGCTTATTAAGTTAGGGTCATCCAGGGGCTGAGTGATATGACAACCTTAGCATGTATGCAGTACAATGGAGAATTTTTTCATGGTTTATGTTGATAGAAGTTTAGTCTAACTATCGTTATCAAAGAGAAGTCATGTTAAAAAAGTTTTTTTGGATCACTTTATATTAACATCATCTCATATGCGCTGCAGCTGATGGTCAGAGAAAGCAGCATTAGTAGGATGGGGGTAAGATCTCTTACACTACAGGTACTCATTAAAACACAATATATCAGGTTTTCAGACTGCAGGTATACCCCCTTTAAAATGATAACTATGATGAACTTGCAAAGGCAGATCAACAAATACAAGCTGAAAACTCATAAATTAAGAACTCTGTCATTAACAGTAACAGATGTTAAAAAAAACAACAACAAGAAACTAAGATTGAAAACCAAAGTTCACGATGTTATGTGGAGGAGGCAGAAAAAAACCCCCAGCTGATCTTACCTGCATGCAAGCAGAGGAGAAAAGCATTGAACAAATTTCCCCCCGACTCAGAAAAAGCAAAGCTAAAACAATATTATCTAGTGCTGAAAATAATTTATGACAGCAAGCAGTGCTTTAATTCTGTGGAGCACACTTACAGTAAGATAACATTCCCTCTCATCGACACACAGTGAACCCCACTCTCCACAATGAGGTTAAAACCAAATCTCTGGATCACTTTAAGCAGATAGGATGGCTCTAACATGTGATGCAAGGACTCTTATGTCACTGCGACCGCCTGTTTTTTCATGTGTGGCTGCCAGCACTAAAATAAATGCAGTAAATAAGAGTCAAATACAAGTATTAATAAACTGTGACATGATGTGGTAGAGAAATACCAGATACCTGAGAGGAATCTGTTTTAGACAGATAATAAGTGATCTTAGACTCATGTTTTTGATGTAAAAAATTTGGTTTTCATGTTTAAAATTCGATGTATAGACACACATTCTTTAAAGAGTGGTGGAGCAGATATTTTGTTATGTTCTAAATGAAGTATTGTAGATGGACTCTATCAGCAAATGCTGTCTCAATCCATTAGAAAAGGGATGAGACAATATTGATATCTTGATTAATTCCTAAATAAATCTGATAAATAAATAATTATCTACAAAAATGGTTGCATGCATTTTTATGTCCCTTTTTTTTAAAGGGAAATTATAGCTAGTAGGTAAAAAAAAAAAAAGTACCAAACTAATCCTAATTTATGTTTTAGTTTTATTGATTAATGATTAATGATTTATTGAAAACAAAGTAATGAAAAATATATATACTTTAATGAAATATATATATATATATATATATATATATATATATATATATATATATATATATATATATATATATATATATATATATATATATATATATATATATACTTTAATGAAAGTATAGAAATTAAATCAATCTTCATCTTTTAACTTTCCTTCCTCATATGTAAAACTACTCAATAAATAATAATAAGCTGAAGAGAGTCATTGGAGGAAGGAATTTTTATGATATATTTTTCATTTCTAACCATACAGCTTTAAAATTGTAGACCAAAATGATGAGTTAATAAGAAGTCAAAATGATCAATTATCTATATAAGTTTGATAAAAATGATGCCATGTAGAATTTCATTCTTTTTTAGTAAATGGGAGATGAAAAGTCTTACAAATTCTCTGTTGGTCAAAAGTCCACCTAAGGGGGCATCTGGGAGGTTTATTTATGATGACATTTGTCACTGTGTGCACTGAACAACAGCGGCATTTAACACTAGTCAAGCCCTTGTCTGACAAATCGGTTTTGAGCAGCATTTTTACAGCTGTCAAGATGAAAAAAAGCAAAGGGGCAGGACAAGTCATGAAAGAAACCATGGAGGAAAAAAACACACTGCTATTTTTTTGTCTTTTACAATGTCAATGTTTTTACAGCCTAGATTAGATAAAAAAGAAAAAAAGAAAAAAAAAATTATTTTTAATGTTTCCCTTTTCATTGCAAAGATCTAACAAGACATTTTCACTACTTGAGACACTTTCTACATCCCAGACCCACAGAGCAGGAAGGCAGAGCAAGAGACGGCTTTATTTCACTCTAACCTCACAGTTTAGTACTGTCCTCTTGCCAAGTCTTAAGTGTTTCAGTGGCAGCCTTTATGCTGGGAACATCATTATTGTAGAGTAACTGGGAATTATCTCAATTCATCTAGCTAACATAATAACCAGAGAGACTTAACCATGCATGTTATTACAAACATAAAGACACTCACAAGTGAAAAACTCAGCCTTGGTACTGAAGACATAGCAGTATGTAGTAGTTTTAAGAGCATCTGGGCTGTGCTGTGATTTATTTAGTCTGTACTAAGAGAGTGCATTGGGCCATATGGTGTGTAAGCCAAAGTGAAAGAAGCTTTTAAGCTCAGACCTCAGATAAAACACAGTGTGAGCCATCACTTTTAAGTGTTATTTTGGACATCCTGGATAAACGAATAAAAGAGACAGCAGTGAAAACCTCTCAGAACGATGGATTTTATAAAAAAAAAAAAAGCCTTTTTACAAAACCTTTACTCATGTGGTGAGTATGGCTTTAAATTTTTGCAGTCATATAATGTTAAATGACTTGTGTCAAATTGATTCAATACGCTTAAATTAGAACACTTCAAAGAAAATGAAGTTCAAAAGTAACATCAAAAAACACTGTGGCATAGTTCTTAACCACTTCCATGTGTTTATAATTCAATGAATATAGATGAAACTGTTTTCGTCTAAACGTGACAGTGCAAATCATTGTTTATGCCTCCTCACATAACAAAATTCAGTCTTGTCAGGCATTTCAAGTGGGAGACAATGTGGCTTTTAAATGCTATAATGTACATTTGTGAGCATCCAGAAGAAACCAAGCGTTATTTGTCTCACCTGTCTCATCTTTTTGACAAACCAGCTACCTTGGTTTTCCATACAACACAAACCTGTTATAACATTGTTTGGGCGAAGCTTCTTGGCAGCATTTTTTTCCTTTTATATTGAAAAATATTTAATGAAAAGAATGTGGTTTAAATTTTGACATAGGAAGAAAAAAATAACATGCAAATAATTAGT